TTTAACATTTCTCTGGAAGATATTGGTGTTTTTCGAATTCGGCGCTCTAGTTCATCCCACACATTTTCAATGGGGTTAAGGTCAGGTGATTGAGGTGGTGGTTGCAAAACTTTTGGGCAATTGTACAGCAAATATTCCTGCACAATGCGTGCCTTATGTTTCGGGTCATTATCCTGTTAGAACTAGAACGTATTTAAAATCCCCATTTTTGTAGCACTTCTGTGTAAATTTTTTTTCAATATGGTCATGTACAAATTTTTCTCCATAATCTTTTCGATGAAAACTAATTCGCCCGGTCCGAAAGTCGAAATACAGCCCCAGACCAATACACTGCCATCTCCGTGTTTTACGTTCGGCCGAAGATTTTTAAATTTAAACTCTTCCTTTTTTTTCCGCCACACCATCCTTCGTCCATCTGACCCAAAAATATTAAATTTACTTTCATCAGAAAAGATGAGATCATTCCACCATGTTTCATCCTTCAAAATAAATTCTTTGGCTTAATTCAGTCTCTTCCTTCGATTCTTTTCACTCACGTACGGTTTCTTTCTAGCCACTCTTCCATTGTAGCCGCTATTTTTTAAGGCTCTGCGGATCGTTTGAGGATGCACGTTTTTTCCAGTCTCGTTTAACAACTCTGATGCTAATTTTGGGGCACTGAGCGTAGGGTCCTTCTTTATTTTTCTTAGCAATTTTCTCTCATCCCGAACGTCTAGTTTCTTCGGTTGGCCTTTTTGAGGTATAAAATCTATACGATCCTCGCATTTGAACCGCTTGACTATATCTCCCACTGTACTCTTGCTTATGTTAAGCAGAACAGCAATTTCTCTGTACGATTTTCCTTTGGCATTATGATATATTACAAGTTGCCGTATATCAAAACTCGTCTTCGCTTTGCGAGGCATTGTACAAGTGTATTGCACGATGATCGACAAATAACTAATAAAATAAGGCTTAACTAGAACGCTTGACTAGATTTGTAAATAAACATTGTCCTCTAAGTTGGCGTAACTCGGCTTGAACATTGGAAAAAGCGCTACATTGTAAAGTGTCCGAATATTAAAGTAACGTGAAAATCGGACAACGTTTTATTTAAACCGTATTATTGAACAACTATTGTAAGTTATGTAAACAAAATTTACGCTATTGTTTATTAAGCGTATACGTCATCATAATCCTTAATCATTTTTTTTTTTTTTTTTTAGAAATAAAGTTATAACGTAATATAGTAAAAATCTCATAGTGTCTGAATATTAAAGTTACTCACTGTAGGTTGATTACAAGAATAGGAAGAGAGCAAAAACATAAGCGAATCAGAGGTTAGAGCAAAACTGATGGTACAGTAGAGAGATGGAAATTTACTGCGTATCGTGGCAACTAATTTGGCAGTTGTTTCAGTGGCTTTTTTTTATGAGAGTCAAACTAACATTGCTACGTGTTCACGGTATTCGCGCAGATATTCATACAGATGACATTTGAGTAATTTGACCTGTCATGTAGATATCGTCATATTATACGTATAATACATTTGTTATAATTATCAGCCAGGCGTAAAAGTATTTTGACAAGTTCATAGGTCAAACATATTTTAAATAAACACATCTCAGCATACATGAACTAGCAATTATGCATAGTCGGGTCGTGACATCAGTAACGAAACCGAAACGTAACGTAAGTCCCCTCAAAGTGGAACTGATGTCGTACTTCACCGTCGTACTCCACTCCACCTATATCGGCAACGTTAGAGTTTTCTCCTGAGGAACGTAACAGTTATGAAAGACCTAATGAATGTAAAAATGCGAATGGAAATCAGGAACGTGATTAGGGATATACGAAACTTTAACATTGCCAATATGTAACTGTTATTGTGTTTGGTACGATCATGCTATTTTTGTAAATGGGCACTGCAACATGATATGAACTTTCCGAGTTCCCCTTACAGAGAATGAACATCGATTTTCACAAAGCAGTACAGACGCATTAAAAGAGTAAGTTGATTTTGAATTTTTTATTGTAAACAATCGAGCATATTATACAAAAAAACCGCAAAGTAATATTTATATATCGGCAGTGTTATGTCGTCCTACTCGCAAAAATAACAGTTATGTATATGAGGTGCTTTGTAACTAATACATCCTTGCATAGAAAATTTTAACTTTGTGTTTGTTGAGTATTTTTATGCATTGGCATATGCCTAGATAGAACACGAAAACTTACCGAGAACAGAGAGCGTGATGTCGCCCTCAAGTACCGTGGTATCATTACGCGCTCTACACGAGTATCGCCCTGCATCCGAAGTTCTAACCTCTTGCGTGTAGATTGTCTGGTTAGCACTTTCAGGATACAAGATAAAGTGACTCTCGCCACCTGGCCAAGGATAAGGTCTGTTATCCTTATACCTGGAACAAACAAAGAAATTTTTGGCAAAGGATGTTTCTGAAATATTAACTAACTCAGTAAATAAGGTTTTCGACTCGGCAATATATTTCCTCTTATTAAAATAAATAAAATATCAGTATGATTCACGATTAGACTTTCATTACTCCACTGTCAGACATTTGATCTACGTTATGATGGAATATACACCCCAGACAGCATAAACTACGAAGACGTCTTATCGACGTCTTTGGAAGGTCTTATGTCCGCTTGATGTCTTACAGACGACTCATGTCTAAGGAAGACGTCTTTTTAACTTAAAACGTCTAGAAGACATCATAAAAGCTGGACACAGGATTTTCTGAAGACATCTTGCCGACGTGCTGTTGTGGCACTTGAATAAATGGCCTACGTGGGATTTTATAATTTCTCCGTTGGCTTTTTATTGCCAGCCTATTTTATTTATTTATAAAAATTAGCCAATTCTTTGTATTACATAGCTGTGCCAGATAATGCGATCTTATTTGAGTAACGTGACCTTTCATACATCGTATCTGCAGTAAAGGAAGTGGAACCTTGTAAATTCTTAAGAGAACGTCGAAGTTCACCTCGAACTTGGGTCAAAGTTTTTTCGAGATCCAGATCAAACCTAACCATAAAAAATTTCATTCAAATGAGAATTAGCCAGCGAAAGGCGCACATTTCACTCGCGCGATTGAGTATTCCGTGGTAGCAGCGAACGTTATAAATATCTCGAGTGCACGTAGGCCGATCGATTGATCATCTCTACGAAGCAACGTTAGCAGTGTGAATTCGCAGAAATTTCATGGTTGCCCAACACGTCACGTATCTTCCAAAGTGTTCATCGTAAGGGTAGAGACGTATTTTTAAAATTCAAGTTTGTGCTTATACAATATTTATAAACTGGACGAACCGTATCATTAATGTGGTTGATACTCGAGAACTAAATTCATTTCATAATGACGTCTAATAACGAGAGCAGTTTCTTCGAGCCATTTGTAATTCTCAGTACATGAGTTAAAATGGTAGCCGCGTTTATAATATCCCGCAGTACGTAACTGTGTCGTTATAATAGTATACGCTGTTAAGCTTTCTCACGACCAAAAACACTTAGTGACTGCGGTGCCAGTACTGCCTGCTGCGTTTCCTTTGTATCCTCTGATTTTCAATTTACCTTCGTCAAGTCTTCAAGTTATACCTCGCTTTGCTTAATTCTGCAATTTAACTTTAATATCGTAACAATTGGTAAAAAAACAGGGTCGCTATCATTTTACCGAAAACACGTTTGCCCGTCTTATAACCGAATTGTTATTCGCTTGAAATGGAAAAGGCAGGATTCACCGTTTGTCGTTTGCCCGATTAATCGTTCAGCTAATTCCGCTTAGACTCATGATATGTGTTCTTTAGTAGCTGGGCGTTATACGTATTCTGTTCGACGAAGTAGACTGCAGTCAGAAAATAACGCCCAGCTACTAAGGAACAGATTCTATTCGTCCAAACGGCGAAACTAATTGAACGATAATTCGGGCAAAAAATCGTTCTAATAGCAGACGATTTTGGGCACTTTCGTTAAACTGACATAACCTGATTGAAATTCTAATCTTTATAATGTGTGTATACATATATATACATATTTTTTAAGAAGGGTAGTTTTCAGGACTTTTTGTCTTGAGTATTGGCAGTTATGAGGACACTCGGTGTTTGTTAGGCTGGGCGTGATAGCATAACCAATAAGATCATAAAGCAGAACTCACGCCGAATTTTCCCAAAAAAATTTCATTCTAGACACTGGGGAAAATTTCTGACAGTATATCTTATGTACCACGATGCTATCAGGGCCGTCCTGAGAAATACAGACTGTTCTCTCATAACTATCAATATCTCAAGACAAAAGTCCTGAGAACAACTACCCTTCTTTAAAAAATACATACCACTGTTCTTTTAATAGTATCTCACACCGAATTTTCCGAAAAAATTTTTATTCTACACACTCGCAGTTGTGATGGGCTAAGAAATGATTTCGTTAAGCTAGGTTAGGTTGGAATTTTAATACATGTCTCAAGGTTTAGTTTTTTTTAAACAAAACGCATGGGCTTGCCATTGTGAGTGGCATGCGTCCTCATAACTACCCTTTGACAAGTTGACATATATATATATACATAGTTTTTAAGAAAAGTAGTTTTCAGGACTTTTTGTCTTGAGTATTGGCAGTTATGAGGACACTCGGTGTTTGTTAGGCTGGGCGTGATAGCATAACCAATAAGATCATAAAGCAGAACTCACGCCGAATTTTCCCAAAAAAATTTCATTCTAGACACTGGGGAAAATTTCTGACAGTATATCTTATGTACCACGATGCTATCAGGGCCGTCCTGAGAAATACAGACTGTTCTCTCATAACTATCAATATCTCAAGACAAAAGTCCTGAGAACAACTACCCTTCTTTAAAAAATACATACCACTGTTCTTTTAATAGTATTACGGTCTTGTATTCACATCCATGCTGAATCTTTAATGTGGCGGTTAACCTCATACACTATTACATTTATAACGTGCAATTTTATGTTTTTGCTTACTGTGGCGGTGTATTTATAGTTTTTATTTTATTTTAATTGTAAATTGACATCGTATTACGTATTCCGTATTATTTTCGTATCCAAGAAGAACAAACTAAAGAATTGGTTATATCTCCTTTTATTGCGTCGTATTCATTTGTAAAAGTTACTCTACGTCACATCGAATCAAACCTCGCGGAATCAATTCCTCAGCACACAGGTATCGTGAGTCACTCTTCTAAAATTTTCTGTTCTATGGTAATTATCATTTATTTATTAGACGTATAGTCACGCCCCGTGGCTTCTTTTTACCCCAACAAATCCTAATGTACATCAGTAGCGTAACACAAGAACAAAAGAGCGAAAGGTGACTTTGCTAGGAAAACATTGAAGATGTTACATAAAGCGAGCCATAGATAGTAGCAGTGGTAGCTCGATGGTACAGAGAAAAACATTACGTTGGGTTTTCGCTTTGTACGTATAAGTACAGTTATGCTTTGGCGAGCACGTGTGAAAATGTACGTGTGTTCTATGTGCGCCATCAGTATTGTTTGATGTAAGTTATTCTCGTATAATTATTTATATACATATATGTATATACTTTTAAAGATGGTTACAGGTATATAATTGTAATAGTATTTTCGACGGTAAAATTTTCTCGGTGTGCTCCGATTTGGATTATCATTTCATTAGTATGTTTTACATTGTCTTTGAAAGCTATGTCAAGAATCTAATTTTTGTTGTACTTTGACATTATTCTTTGAATGTTGTCAATAGGCGATATAGCATGCAGATCAAGCATAACTATTGCTCAAAGTGAATGTATATTACAATCGGTTCGCAATTTTTCCTATATACAATGTGCTATTTTTTAATTTATATTTTCAATTGAAATATGCGTAAATCCAATTTCTTTTCTGAACCATGTATTTCATTCTTGTAAATTATTATATTTTTGATATGATAATGAAGAGTCCATGCGTACTTTACAGGCACTGTTGAATATGGTTTGAAAATAGATGTACTATCAGACGGTTAATTTCTCTTGAGATTTAGAGTGCGTAGAATTTTATGTTCACGAATCTGGACAACTGGATTGTGATAGCGTCTGTATCGCGCACACAGTTTCGTCTTATTTAATTTTTAGTTTATTATTTATACATATATTTCTTGACTATTAGATAAACAAAAAATTATATCGGTTTAAGGGTTTTTGGGTCTGATAATTTTAGAACCCCTCGGCTTCGCCTCGGGAACCTCAACTTTATACGCGGCGCAAAAACGCCCGTTTTCGCTCTCGGTGCACAATATACTGTTCTTCAACAGCGGAGCGAACGCGAGTTTTCACGTAGTGGGTGATTCTTGGGTCGGTGCAAATAAGCAGGTTAGTTTGGTAACTTAGGAAATCACAATGAAACATCTGTGCATCGTATAGCTTACGTGAAAAAAACAATTGCTCCGGTGGTAGCTGGTCGTTGGATTCGTCGGCAAATGTCACCTCACTCATATTCAATTTTTCAATCTTCCACGTTTCCCCATCCGAGAATTGACCGTTTTCGCTCCTCTCGAGCGGAACGAAAACGAGCGTTTTCGCTCCGCTGTTGAAGAAAATATTTTATATGTAAGTCAACAAATTCTCACGTGTAATGAGATGTAATTTCTTAGGTTGAAATAAGAAAAATATATGTATTTTCTATTTACCATTCGAGCACGGTTTAGATATTTTCACTAAATTGTTACAATTTGTCATAGCTATACCTGCTATCGTTGATACAAGCATCCAATATCTCAGACATTGAAGTCTGAGCCTGCCTTCCGTTTCCTTCTTTGTTCACCGCAAACAATTGCAATCTCATATCCTGGTCTACGCCGTCAGTTGTGTAAACGAACACCTATGTCTACAGGTATAACTTTAGCTCTAGTAGAATGACGCAATCTTGCTCAAATCTCTCTTTCTTCGTGGAAACTACTTCGATGCAGCGGCATCCAGAAAACAAGGCAAGTACAGGATTTTTATTTAATTCCGCCTGGATTTGTTCAATGATTGCAAATACGTGGCTGGTATTTCTATAGATATCATTATTGACAGTCATATATTCGCACCAGTATCTACTTAATCTTACAATTCGATACTCAGGCAGATTGGAATCGCGTGTCTTTCCGAAAATGCAATTCATTTGAAATTCCTTAAGGGGATTGCGGACTATCAAAGAACATGCAAATGCCACTACAGCGCCTCTTGCGGTGGTTCAGAAATGCTTACGGATATCATATGATAACTACGTTAGTCAATGATTTCTAGAGTGGCAACATTGGTAATGCAGGAACGTAACTCGCTTCAATTTGTACAATTTGTAGTCAATGGCAGATGGAGATTAATATTCATTTCAGTAACCGAACTAGTGAAATATTTTAGTAGCTTAACTTATTGCTATGCGAACTGTCA